TAGATAGGATGTCTCTCAATCAAAGTACATTCCTTTGAACATCCTTTCTTGCATTAAAGTTTCTAATCTAGATACAGATTCTCAATATCCAACTCCCAATATGGAAACATTTCCATATTTGCCATATGACAACTCATTCTTAATAGAATCTTATCTATTCATAATAATGTCGATATGTTCCATCCAATACCATACTTCCAACTACTCACAAGCGACCAATCCTCAGTGAGCTTTGGATCGTGCTTTGATAGTTGTTTAATTATCTTAGTCAAAACCGATTCTTGTCCTTTTTCCCTCTAAATGCGCTAGACATTTGGAAAATTTTAGAATGGTCAAATATTACAACACTTGCAATTGATCCTATACCCGAAGCGTATGGGACACGATGCATAATGTCTTACATAAAGATACAATACTTTATCAATCTTCTGCCATAATATTTAATGTGTAACGTTCTCACAATTTAAACTATGAAGAGGGATGCCATAATCATAATCGAAATTTTGAGAACGCACTATGTATCCTTGACTAAATTTATTAACATTCCACAACCTAAGCCTTTAGATTTGAAATGAAGCATAATATTCTCTCCCTTAATTATAGCAAAACAACCTTTCAACCCTTGCTACTTTGCAAAGTATAACTCTTGTTTTCTATAATTAATATTGCTAACTTGCAATACTTGCCATAATAATCATACAAGCACAACTTTTATGCTCCCACTATCATGATGATGATTATTATATAAGCATAACTCTTATGCTCCCACTAGCTTTGACATGTATTCAGAAAACAGCTTAACTTCCAGAAAAACAATACCTATTGAATTTCTTAAGTTCACATTTCTAATACCTAATGCTTTGATAATCCTTTATCTAAGCTTATACACATTTGCCTTAGATAGCTCATATGTGTATCTAAACAATTTAGACTAATTGCCAAATCTCACAATTCAAATCATGGAAAGGGATACCATAACCATAATCGAATTTAAGAATGCAATTTTCACAATCACTATCTTCTTAAAATCTCTCTTAGTGAAAGCATTTCCTCACAGTCATTTTCATGAAGGAGGGAATCTTATGACACTTAGATTTTAATGGTGTATGTGTTCCTATCCATGTGAATTTGTCAAAACCAAAGTTTGCGACAAATCCAAACTCATATGGACTGAACTCTTAATCTTGATTTCTTGCCTTATGGTAACACGAGTGCCCACCATGTCTTCCAAGCAGTTAAGCAGCTCACCCTTTCCTATCAATGTTCTTTTCATTGACCAAGGTCCTTGCCTTTTATGCGTTCCAATGAGAACTCATAGAACTCACATGCATAATTAACTCAATTGGAATGGCACAGAAACAAAATAACGTCAACACGATAGGTTATAAACCTCAAGTCGTGTGCTAGTGATGATCGATAAGGTTTATTATTGATTTGTTCTTGAAACCTTTCAAGACCATTAAGACTCCCACTAACTCCTTGACATATAAGATTCACTTGTCAATAAACTTTTCTCGACAAACAAATATTCAAGAGTTAGTGTAGCTTTTATCAAGACAAAACACTTCACAAAATTGGTCCTAGTTGGTCTTTGTCTTATCCAAGACATAACAACTTTCCACATTTGGTGAATGTTATAAACCTTCTTAAGACTTGTCACTCAATGTCATAATCTTAGCTCTAAGACTTGTTTTGGAATGAAGTATGATTGACTTCTTGATTTAACCATTTCTTCAATTCTTGATTCCTCATATCAGACATACATTTGTACTAAGACTCACTTAGAGGATCAATTGAGATATGGTTCTTAATCATTAAGACCTATCATAAAACATAATAAAAGGTACTCTCTCTTCTTCTTAGAATAGAGAAACTTTTATCTTTCTGCCTACTTGATTCTTCTTATTCGTGCTGCTATTGATTTAAACTCTTTTAATCAATTCAGAATTACACTTAATCTTATAAGTATAACCATATTTACTAAACCTTTGGTAAATCATGACGAATATCTTTGTTACTCTTGTGGTGGACTTGATCAACACACAACTTTGTGTACTCGATCTCCTAGTCCTTTACTTGACACTTTGTCAACGAAGTAGTCTAATTTCCAAATATGAAATTTCTCATTCATCATGTAACCAAGTTGCATGATTCCAAGTTTCTGTCCAATTGAAACTTAGGGTGATGAGAAACTCTCCCTATTTGGTAAATTCTTGGCATTTCCACATAATTAAGAATCAAATCCATTATTGCTAATAATAGAAACATTCAAAACATCAATTTTTTCATACACGCCATCGCAAGGATAAATAAATAATATAAAATCAAAATTTATTTTATTACGGAAAAATTTGTCCTTAAAATGTAATTGAAAAACATTGTTGTTACATATTCCTAAGCAATCTATTCTAACTCCAACTAGTAGCTTAAGAATCTAAGCTTCAAGCAATGCGATCGAAATTCATTTCTTCACGAAACATGAAAATGTAATCTTATCACATCATGTATCAAGAATCTAGAATAGGAACTTAAATGTGTTAGTTGATGGATTTTACCTAAAGTAGAGCCATACGTTTTGACTCTCACATCTCTTAGATCTCTTAGGTAAATAGGGCAGCTTCGTCTCCAATGCCCCTTCTCTTGGCAATAAAAGCAAATGGATTCTTTTGGATTGGCACAAGGAACTATCTCAGAATCTACCTTTTCTGGATAGCCAATGTCACCATTTCAATATCCATTGAAGTTTGGGAATTTGATTTACCAGACAAATTTGCTCGACCAGCTTGCCAAATCATTTCTGATTCAACAGCTATCACTACTAGAAAAACAGCCTTTTACGACGCTCATTGCGCGTCGTAAAAGGCTCAGACGACGCGCAAATGCGCGTAAAGGATGGCCATGTCAAAAAGAGAGACGACGCGAAATTACGACGCACGTTTACGACATGCAATGTGTATCAAGGAAGACCCTGTCATAAAGGAAGATGACACGCGTGTTAATGACACGCAATGTGTATCAAGAAAGGCCCTGTCAAGAAAGGCCATGTCATAAATGAAGACGACACACATTTTTGCGTATCGTAATTTTAATTTTTACAAAAAAATAATTATTTATAGATTTACTGATTTTCAAATTAATTTTGCATTTCATGTCTCACAATACAAAAAATACAATACATTGCACAAAATGAAATGTCATACAAATAAGGATTCCAATAGTAGACAAATTTAACACATCAAATAATCATTCAAATAGTAGACAAATGTAACATTTCAACATTTTTTATATAATTAACTAAATTATTAGCCAAATTTCCTAAACTACCAACACACTTTTCTATGAAGAGCATTAACACTATTCTTTTCCATCAAAAACTTCAAAACCTGCATAATTAAATTAATGTTTAATCAGCTACAGGTCAATAAGGTAGGTTTAAACAAAAGATTTTCATAATAGTAAGATTTTACTTACCACTGTTGTTAATGACATTGAAAGAAGCAGCCCAACAAACAGCCCCTCAGAAGGATTACTACCACATAACTGTTGATATTTGATACTTTATTACTGAATGAAACCAAAAACAAATTTAAAAAGTAAACAAAATCAGAAGGTTTTAGTCAAACTTACAGAGGCTGTATTTCCAAATATTACTAAATGACATTGATTGAACCACCTGCAGATTTACCATTTTGTCCCTATGAGATTCACTACTGAACACATTCTACAGTTTGTAAACTATAATATATATATATATATATATATATATATATATATATATATATATATATATATATATATATATATATAATCATTGTGAAAAGCAAGAAATTAGAAGTGGAATGTGATTGCATACCATCAAAACCAACATTTTTACATGCCCATTTTTCCCAGTTTCTATTCACGAAACCCTAATCCATGAATGCTTGTTGGTTACAACAGCCAACAAGTAGTAAGGCAGGCCTACAACCAACCCATCCACATTTTTTTCACATAAAATAGCTACCTCATTCCACAATTACTAATATATATATATATATATATATATATATATATATATATATATATATATACACACACACACACACACACACACACTTCAATTTTTTATGTCAAGTGATAAGAAATAAGATATGTTAAAAATGAAGTGCAATGTGCACTTACTGTTATGGACTCGAGCATATAAGAGTCTTTCTCCTTTCCAATATTCCAAACGCCTCCTTTTAATTATGCTGCTTTGTCTCACTCCAGATGTCCAAGAAGACCCCGCTCCGATCATAATCATCCCCATTATATCATAAATAAATAAACCATAAGAAGACCATCTACAATAGGTAACAATTTTTTTTCCAATCCATCACTTGTATGCCTAGTTCATTTATGAACCATAGAAGACCATCTACAACAGGGGGAAAAGAAGCATCAGGAAACAATTCCTAACTAACTATATAATAATAATTATCTAATAACTCTACAGTAAATTTAGAATTTTAACTTACATGAATTGATTGCATTTGTAGTAAATCTGCAAGTGCTTTTTTGCCTCAACTATTATTTTGTAGAAAAAAGAAACAAAGTATTATTATATATCAGACACATAAATTTACAAAATATAGAAAATTACAATTATGCCCTTATATACCGATTGGTTAGTAGCCCAACTTTCATAATAGTAAGTAAAATATGATTAGTTTCATTATTATAACAAAAAAACCCCAACATTATATTATTATTTCACTTGCAAGGCATGACTCCTGAGCATGGGTCAAGTCCATTAAGCAATAATACATCATCAACTATTAAAGACTTCTTAAACCCTATTTAAATAAAATAATGATCAAACCAAACCATTTGTACATGTTACTTGAAGTTCAGCTTTAGCACCACTTTCCTCCACCAGTCCATTCCGGGTGATTTCTAGAGGTGTGTGTAATTGCATTGACCTAGTTTGACCAGGAATCCTAAGATGATTATTCGGCTTCACAGGAAGTGGGGCTTGATTTTCATACTGTGATTATCCCCTGTTCAACTTTCACATGAGATGAGGGAGATAATGGACACATGGAATCTGTTGTAGCAACTTGTCCAATACAAGGAGGAAAAGGAGTAGAAGGATGAAACAGTAAAAAGATATCATCATTACATGGTACGTCTGGATCATCCCTGTTCAAAGTGAAAATAATTTACCCTTTTGTAAGCTGAACAGATTCTATCTGTGATACTGATGTTGATGTCATTATACCCTCTATACCCTTTTCTAATTTATCTGGTTGTTGAGTTCAGAGGTTGGTGTTTTTAGGAAAGCAGCACCCTCTAAAGCCACCACGAAGTGATGTTAGGGTAAAACTGTATTTTTCTGAAAAGCTTTACGGTTTTTATGCGAATATCCCCCAAAACAAACATTTTTTTTTCTGTTGTGTTGGAATGAGTCATGATTCCCTCATAAGGAACACTCGATTAGAAAGCTAAAACCAACCTGAACAAGGGTTAGGGAGCTGTTGGCTGCCCAATATAACAAACTGCCCTGCAAAAGCATATTACAAAGATCTGAATCATTAACAACTACTAACTCACATTATCTTATTAAAGGATACTCAAGGGTAAACTAGTCAATAGCAGCAACAAAAAAAACACTATACATATTCCTTGCATGCAGTTTAGATTTAGATGATATAAACTACAAGTATGCTTGTTGCAATATATGAGAACTCAGATTCACCTTACGAAGATTAAATCCAACAAAAAATATAGGAATTGTGAGGCACTCCAAGTAGAACCTGCTATACTACAACAAAAAGCCAGAGATGTTAGAATACATGTATTTAATGTATTTAATATTGTCAAGTGTTTGGTTGGCAGGAGATGAAAATAAATACAACAAAAAATTAATAATTTTAAAATTTTTACGTATGTGTAAAGAACCTTTCATTATTATTTATTTCAAGATACATAAAAGAGGGTATTCTGGTCTTTTAATAAAAAAGTAGGAAGGACATGAAATTTGAGTATCAACTTTGGACTTCAGTGTGGATTATCAACACTGGAAACGTGTGGTTACCAACTCATACTTGACCGACTTAGGAATAAAGTGGTCCAATGTCAGAATGTCATGGACATGCAAGCTGTCCAATGTCAGGAATGGCGGGTAAGAAAAACGTACATTTTTATTAAAAAAAAATGAATAAAAATCCAAGCGGTTGATTTTGTTTTCGTTTAATTGTAAAATTGAAACTTCACTTGCTAAATTTTTAAAAAAATTGGGAAATTTAATCACATATAAAGAAGGTAATCTCTCTCGGGCATTTGATCCAACAGCTTGCATGCAATCTGATTTCTAATCTTTTGGTCATTCTAAGCAATCTGATTTCAAACCTTTCTATTAATTTTGATTAGTTTGTTCATCATCTAAACTTTAGTTCCTCGGAAATCCAAGTCATAAGACTAAACAAATCAAGACATTAATGAAATGTACATCAGGTTCTGGAGGAAAGGATATGAATAATGGTCTAAGAAAAGGAAACAAGGATGTAACAAATAATGTTGAGGAGGAAAAAAAGGGTTCAAGGAGACATGAGATTGTGAAAAATAATGGATCAACGAATAAGAGTGTGCCACCTGTCGCAACAACCATAAGCAGTGGGCTCAAAATGCAACTGCCGCTTCAACGTGTCAACAGTAAACGAGATTATTTTCTGCATAGTTTTAAAAACAAAAAAGGAAATATTATCATATTTCATGTTGTATATATGGCTTAAAACGAAGAATATGCATATACCTTGCCATTTAAACATCCCTACTTCATTTGCAGCATCAAGCTCCACACTAAAACGTGATCTTGACATCTCCTGACTGCTATCCATGGGAACAACATAATTGTTTCAGCATGAATGCAAGTTTTACAATATTAAGAGAGTACTTACCAAAAATATTCATTAAGATCATCATAATTTGTCCATGAAGCATGGATTGCTTTGCCACCTTGATTTCTCCTAGCTTCCTGCCACCATTAAAAAAATAAGTCCCATTAGAAAAGTAGATTTTATCAAATTAGATCGTCAATGGATCGCAAGGTTAACAACAATTATAAAGAAGTAAGTTGATAAAAGCGAGAACCTAATTTGTGGAGTAGAATCCACTAACCTCGATCATCATTCATCAAGCTGGGACAATACTAAAAATATGAGGGATTTTCCCATCATCAAAAGGCAAGCTGACATACTCACGAGCAAAACCCAATCAGAATCAGAATCCCGAACAACAACATCAAAGATAATGCAACAGAGCAAAACCCAATCAGAATCACCATAGGAGTCCAGCCAATATAACAACACTTATGACTTGAAAGATTCTAAGCTTATTGAAAGCTTCAAATCTCCTCTCCCTAATTCCTCTGAGAACCAGCACCATAAACTGATGCCAGCAGCTTGTACACCATTGGTCTGATTCCACACAGTTTCCTACTTTCAAAGAGAGTTAGTTTATACACACAAAGTGTTGAATACATAATATTATTTTCTTTTCTTTTCTACCATTTTACCCTTACATTCCAAAAAACGTATGCATCAATTTTTTTATTATTATTATTATTATTATTATTATTATTATTATTATTATTTATTATTATTATTATTATTATTTTTACAAATACTTACTTGGTAAAGTTTCTTTTCCAGGATTCTAATTGCCAACGCCCAAATCACATACATCAGTTTTCAGCCTTGTTTCATAACAAGTGATGAGTTGTTGCCTAATTGAATTCTTCTCATCGTCCGTGTTTTCACCTTGCTCATAATCATGCATTGAATCAAGTGCAATTCCTTCCTGTGACATTTAAAAACTTTTTTTGTGCTTAATAACGATAAAAAATCACATAAAAATAATATCATTTCAAATTACCGATTTAGCATTAGCAAGATCAAGAAAAAGGTCAGCCGGGTTGACTGTAACAGACGTAGAAAATCCAATTGAAGAAAAATAGTCCAAAGTTGTGGAAGCAGAACCATAGTAAACCTATGAGCCTTCAGAGAGCAAGATCACTTTATCAAACATGAGGTAGATCCGACTCTTGAACCTTCAATTTTGACTTTATAAACAACCTCTTCAAACTGAAAAAGAATGACAAAATCACCAACTAAAACCTTTATATAATTAACTCAAAGAAATTAACGGGTGGGGATGTAAAAAGACCTTTAATGTTATGGGGTATAAGGCCTGATCAGGTTTCACCATTGTTGAAAGTTCTTCCATTGGTTTAGTAATGGTGGTGGTGGTCGTCGTGTCTTCAGGGTTTAGAACCAGCGAGTGGAGGGCCATGGCAATTGGCCAAGTGGTAATGATGTATATATGATTTGCTTGAGTATGGTTGAAACCCCATTTTGATTCCGCCACAACCACCACACAAGCTAGTGATCAGTTCACTTGGAAATAGATTAGGAAAAAAGCTAGCGCTGCACCCATCAACACAAATGGCGTGATAAAGTAATTCGAGTCGTATTCAATTACAAACCCTAGGTTTTCCCCAATCTTGATGATTACCATAAATAATAGGAGAACGGAAGCGAGATGAGGGATAGGATGAGCTGAGCAGCGATTGTGGTCAGCACAAGTGGGAAGAAGGAGAAGATTAGGGATTTCATGGCGGGGAAAAACTTGACTGGTATTCCATAGAAGTCATGGTAGGTGCTGTATGTGATTGTGGATATGGCACCGAGGAAGAAGATGTAGACAAAAACTGAATATAGGAGATGAATTGTCAGGTTTTGACAAAGATTCGGTCGCTGGTGGTTTCACAGGGAAGCGATGGCTAACGACGGCGAGCAGAGATAACTCGTCGCTTGAGGAGCCAACGATCGAGATAAGCAGATGGATGGTCCGTGAAAGGTGTTGTTGAATAATATGGAGTGTGATATGTTGGATTAGGATTTTAAGAGAGAAGGAATGCAAGTAATTCAGGGTGAGTGTGAATATCAGTGGGTAGAAAGGGTTTGTAAATAGGAGGGAGAGAATTAAGGTCGATCCGATGAATGGAGAGAGTGCAAAGGTAGAGGAAAGAGGAGTGTGATTTTAGGGTTCAATGGTGGTGGCGATGGCCTAGATTTTGCAGATAGAATGGAGGGATGGAATGAAGGTTTCAGGAGGAGGAGAGTTGATGTAGAACGTGGTAGAGAGCCTCATTGACAAAACCCTAGAAAATGGTCCCTGCGAGAAAATGGTCCCTATGAATTTTTTGATAAGATAAATAGTCTAAGCGTGTTCATTTAAAAATTATAAAGCGACGTGATTAGACGACACACCTTTTATGTTGAGTGCCCTCCGTGTTTTTTATTTTTTCGTTCTGACACAAATTTTAAGGGCACGGAAAAAATGCGCGCCCTAAATCATTCAAATTTTAGAAGAGATGACATTATATTTAGGGCACACGCTTTTGCGTATCGTAAATCACTGCATGTCATGGTTTGCACGTCATTAAAGGCCTATATTCTAGTAGTGTATAAGCAAATAGGTCAAATCAATGAGGGTCACGTCATGATCCATCATATAGTACACTCTTGTGAACTCACTATATGATTGAGGAAGCGACTGAAGAACCCAGTCAACAGCCAACTTACCTGAAATCTCGACACCCAACATCCTTAACCTTTCAATGTGTGACTTCATCTCTAAGACGTGTACACACATAGGTTTCCCATGTTTAGTTGCCAAAAGGGCTTGAGTGAGCTTGAAGTTTTCATGCCTTCGAACTTCTGGGTTAGGGAGAATAATTGGAGGAGGTGGAGGAAGTGAAGCATGATCTCTTGTTCCTCGATCAAATCGTGGAATATCATCTTCATGTGGAAAGCTTGTTCCACGGGATTTAGGAATACCATAGTTGTCGTACTTTGACATCTACAAAACGGGAGAAACTAAATTCAAGTTAGTTGATTGATTGAGTCCTTAATAAATCACCCAAATGAGATATTAAGGCTAGGACCCAACACAATACGCTACAACCTAGAAAAAGGATGTCGTAATCTAGTTGCAGAATATTTAAAGGTAGGTAAATGACGATTTACCAATTTCGACCATGAAAAACGAAAAAGCAATTTAAGTTTTAAATCTATGAAAACTCCTAGATCCTTTGAGATTCATTGAACTTTTTTCAATGGCATATTTAAATCTCGATATGCCCCCTCTAGTTTGTGACTGGGATACCGAGGATCACAAAGCGGGTGTGAATAATCATGCAAACTTACATGGTGCGCCCACATGTTACAGTCACCTATTCGATGTGCCGGTTAACCACACACGCTCCACCGAACTGTGACAAACATTGAGTCACCCTTTGCTACCTTTGCTTAGAACCATTTAGTGTGTCGGTTAACCACACACGCTCCACTAACGTCTTCGTAAGGGCACAAAGTGTAATTTCATGGAATTGAATCAATTCCCTTTTTCCTAAAGTAACTAAGATTGGGAATTTTGTAAAACCTTTTTTAGTTACTTTATACTTCATTATACTTTTAATGGAAAGGGTTTGCCCTATCCTACCCGTTCGGCTAACGACCCTTCACCAATCAAGGAAGCGGTGGGTGAGAGTAGACACCCATTAAACGGCCATTTTATAGGCCATAACCTTATACCCCCATATAGATCAGCTTCGTGAATGAGGCCTACTAACGGTAAGACTAGCATTTTAGTTATACATATATAATATTAAACTTTTAATGTTATACATAGTATAAGGGTGTATTTTACACTTTTAAAATACTAGGTGGTTTAAATTATACTTTTAATTAACCAAAATCATTATGGATTTATTAACTCTATTTTAATTATACACTTAATTAATTTAATAAAACCATAAGGGTTTAATTTGAACTTTTCAAAATTAGGGTTTTGGAATTTAGACTTTCAAAATTAACTTTTAATCAACAATTTAAATTCCAAAACTTGAGGGCAAGTTTTGAAACTTTTCAAAACAATTAGGTTTTAATCTCACTTAAAATTTTCGAATTTAAGACATTTAAATTAAAATTTTAAATATTAAAACTCTTGATTTAATAATTATCTTGAATTAGACTATTAATTTTAATTATTAAATCATAAGGGATTATCTAAATCATGAGGATAATTACCATTTATACATTTAAAATATCCTAATCCCTTAAACATCTACATAGATTTCGAAAATAAGGGATGAGATATCCCAAAATCTTTAATTACCATATTTAACTATTAAAGGATAATTACAAGATATGGGATAATCCAAATCCCTAAAATTTAGGATCTAACCTTGGGGAAGGAGGTAATTTCGAAATTCAAGGGTTGGATAACCCTAGATTTCAAAATCTTGGAGGCTAAGGAAAGGGTTTGGGAAACCCTAGCAAAAATCGCCAACTAGGGTTTTGCAACCCTAATTGCGAAAATTACCTAGCCTTCAGGGTTTATTAGCCATAAAACCTAATATGTCAAGTTCATACATTTGAATAAAAGCTAATTGAAAACAAAAACCATTGGCTCTGATACCATTGATGGGTTTTATACAAACAATTTTATGTGTGCATGCAACCCTAGAGTTGGATTTATGTTTTCACTATTAGTTATACAATTTTATGAACACAAAAAGAAACCTGGCATGCTACTATCATTTTCGAAATTCATATATAAGAATAGAATACATACCTTTTGTTGTTATATAGCAATAACAACTAGTTCCTCGAATCTCCTTAGCTCTCGAAAGCAAGTACCACAAGTGTAGTACCTCTAATGGCTCACAAACACCAAAAGCAAGAGGATGAAGAATGATAAGAGAGGAGGCACCCAAAAACGTGTGTAAACCCTAAGGAAACACTTATCCATGTTTTTGGGGCTTAAGGGTACTATATATTCATGTAGGCTATTAGGGTTTTAAATAGGAAACCCTAATCTGACTGCTTAACCCCTAAGCAACCCATGGATTCCTTTGGTATATCCCTTGGACAATTTCTAATTGGTTCCCCATAGAATTCGTCCAACTTATATCTTATTAAGTAATCCATAGCCCAAATGCAATTATCTTATAATTACAGTTTCAGTCCCTTAAGTTTAATTAATCTCTTTTAGCCACAAAATTAATTATCAATTAATTCTTGACTAATATTAATTAAACAATATGATTTCTCCTTCAATATATTATTCTCATAATATATTAATAAATCATAATTAATCCTCTCTCTCCATAATTCATCATGTCAAGTTGCTTTGGTGAAGGCAACCCAAAAGGACCATGCACCATCGGGTCAAGTACATACCAAAATAGTTATGGACTTAGACACTAATCCAACAGATGTTGCCATTCAAGAAACAAGAAATATCCTTATAAACCAGTAAGCATCCATTCACAACATAGAAACGCAGTTGGGGCAACTTTCTCAACAAATAAACCAAAGATCACCAGGCAAACTCCCTAGTAAAACCGAAAATAACCCACGAGGCACACACATAAATATAGTTACAACAAGAAGTGGTAAAAATAATTACCCCTCTAGCCCCTATTCAGATAGAAGCACCTAACGAATCACAGAGGAAAGAGGCAAAAAATCAAGCAGAAGATCAAAACCTTCAATCTAACAGCCCTACTCGCTAAGTACTAAACATGGACTCGGCGAGTACAATGCCAAATCCGAAAGAACAGGTCCCTGAAAAGCTGTATTAGCCTCCAATGCCATACCCAGCCCGAGCTAAGAAAGAGAATCAGGAAGAGGAGTACCAGAAGTTTCTAGATCATATTAAGACTCTTCAAATCAACATACCCTTCATTGAAGCTGTCGTCCAAATGCCCAAATATGCCAAGTTCCTTAAGGAAGTTCTCACTAATAGAAGGAAGATGGAAGAAGTGAAGAAGGTGGTCCTCGATGAAAAATGTTCAGCTGCTATGCTAAATAAGCTACCAAAGAAGAAAGGTGACCCAGGGAGCTTAACACTACCTTTCCAATTTGGCAACTTAGCTACAATTCACGCCTTAGCTGATTCGGGAGCAAGTGTGAACCTAATGCCATATTCATTCTTCAAGAAGCTGGATCTCCCGGAACCAAGGCTAATTCACATGAAAATCCATTTAGCAAACAAGACAGTCACTTTCCCAAGGGGCATATGCGAAGACTTGATGGTCAAGGTGGACAAATTTGTCTTTCCCGCTGACTTTATCATTCTAGATATGGAGGCGGATCCTCAAGTCCCGATCATCCTCGGAAGGCCCTTCCTCAACACTGCTAGTGCTATAGTAGATATGCGGGATTCAAAGCTTACCTTGCGGGTAGGTGATGATTCTGTAACTTTTGGGGTTGATTAAGCCA